AGCTGAGCACCCTGTTTTGGGTTCTAAAACGGATTTAGCAATGGAACATTACTGATTTGATTCACTATGCAGGTGCATGCATATCCTTGCTCTGCAGGTATATAAAAATGTGCTACTTTGTTCTCTTTCCATTTTCATGCTTCAGCCTCTCACTTTTGAGTGAATCACCGTAAACCCATTTCATTACAGTAAGATATGCAAAAGCATTCACAACTTCTCAAGCATTTTTGAAGCATTTCATTCCATTAAAACATTGCCTGGTGCAACGAAGAAAAGTCATGAAATCTTGAGTAATTTAAAACTTTCTTACATAGTCATCGGTTGTTGGTTTATCTATTATCACCTCTGGCAGAAGCTGTCCAGTAGGCGACAACAGACGTGGTGGTCCATCCACTAAGGAAACCACCCCATTGCAATCCACAGTGCTGTGCATCTTCCCATTCACTGGAAACACTGTCAGCTTTCTTGATGATCTACTAGCCTGACTAATGTTACTACTGCGGCGTTCACCATGTCTGCGCGGCAAAAAGAGAGAACCTCTTCTGCTCCCATTATCCTCAAACGTGCTGTGCTCATCATCAGCAAAGTCATTTTCAGATCCTATCTCTCTTCCATATTCTCTAAAACTGAAAAGACTTGTTCTGCTGCTACGTCTGGGAGAAAACAGGGAGCCACGAACACTCAGTAAAGACTGCAAAGGAAACAAAAAAATGACCGGCTGAAGATTTTAAATATACAAAATGTATGTCTATGTATTAAAAAAATAACAATTCATATTCCCCAGAAATCTGTCACCGTTATTTTTAATACAGTGCCTTAGGTAGATTTCTCAGACTTCTGGGGAAAATGCAGTGCTGCTGTACATGTTAAGACCCACCAGATCCTAAACAATAAAATGAGAGAGACCAAAACGTTTGTTTAGGTACACTCTAGAAAATAATACAAACAGTAAGTCAGTATTTAAAACAATGCAACATTAGTTTGTTGGATATTACCGTTGTCTCACAAACCCCCAAAATAACAACTGCATTATTCACAGTACCTGGTGGGGTGATGTGAACGGCTTCCCATAAGCAAGTCTGTTCCCATCAAAAGAAAAACGGAAACCTTTCCTCCTGATACTGCCATCTGATTCAGATTTTGGAAGCTTTTCATCCTTCACGTCATCCTCTTCTCCAGAGAGCTCCCTCTGCCTTCTTTTCTTCCTTCTATTTCTCCTTTCTTTGGCACTTTTTGAGCTAAGCTTGGATGCATCTGAAGAACTATCTGAGGGTCCATCAATCCCACTTTCACCGCTGTACTCGGTCATCTCTGCTGCAGCTGCTGCTATTGCCTGCCACAGCAATTATTTAATGTGATGCTTTACAAATCACACCATTTTTTAAAGAAAGCTATAATCCTTGTTCCTAAGATTTATATCAAATTACTTCCGGATGTGTGACAAAAACCTAGATGGACCTGTGCAAAACTTCAAATGGAATTCTGTAATATGAATTAAAATAAAAGGGCAGTTATGAAAGTCGCTGTTTGAACAGCGTTCTACTTTACATCCATATCATGGAGTCAGCCCACATTGCTTACAGCGTTCTGCCACAAAGTACATTAGAAAATATTTGAAAATTAATAAAATTTATTAATTACAGTAAATGTAATTGCAAACAAAAGAGCTAAACAGAGTCATACTTCAGTCTGTATCAATTTAGTAAACTAATTTTAACTGTTATTGTAAGTAACAGCTTCCTTAAATTGCTGTTAGGAAAAAACTTTGGGGTACTACTTCCAGTCTTCCATTCACTGGTGGTAACACAAGTAGCAAAAATTAGTCAGAAATTTATGGATAAAAGTATTTTAAACTCTAATCAAGGCTTGACAAGTATTTCACAAGTATTGCAATTATTTCTAAGCTGAGAAGTTGGAAAATCATCACAACAGGTTACTAGATACTACCCCTAGATAAGAAATTTCTATTTTTAAACTATTATTCTGATTTGGGGAGTACTTTTTGTTCTCAGTTCAGAAATTCATTAATGCTTTAAACATTATACATCTAAACAGCAATAAAAAGCCACAGAGAATGTAGTCTGAAGCACTTGTGAGGTATGTAAAAGAATGCCTTTTTTTTAATACGTTGATTTAATTATTGGTTTTGTTTTGAACCAATAGCATGCAAAGGAATATACTAAAGCTCAAACACTTGTTAGAAAATACCTGAGCTTCTTCTTGCTGCTTCCTCAGCTGTTCAAGCATGTGCTGCAAGTCTGCCTCCCTCTGTTCTGCTTCAACCATAGTTGCTTGATTTTGTTCTTCATAGGCCATGGCAACGACAGCCAAAATCAAGTTAATCAAATAGAAGGAACCCAGAAAAATGACCACAACAAAAAATATCATGTATGTTTTGCCAACAGCTCGTAGCGTCTATAGGAGAAAAAGAGAAACGATCCATCTGGTGAAGACATGCATCAGTTCTGCAGTTCATAAGCATTTACTGAATTTGAAAAGTACAAAACTATTATTGAGTTTTCTTCCTTCTGTAATAAGACCATACAAGCTTTCTGAATTACAAAGTAATCAAAATAAAGGGAGCATTCACGTATGTGAAAAACACGTTTAAGGATCATGCTGCTTTGAGACAAACCTCTTTTAATGCCTAATAATCTTGAAAAGGATGTGGGATCAGAGTAATTAATGTAAATCACACATCACAGGTTGGATGCTTAGCATGCTTAGCATGTATTAGCATGCTTTCCTGTTGAAATAACGAAAAGAATTAAAGATGGCACAACTGATTACATAATTAAAAGATAATATTTATTATAATTAACAGATTATCACACAATATAGTGAAAAGCTATGGTAAGAAAAGTAATTTATATCAAGCCATGCATTCCTAGTTATCAAAAACAGGGTTCAAAGTACAGAAATTAAGATTCAGATTTTGCTGTCAGAGTATTTTTACAGTTTAAACTCAATATTAAAGTTTTTGAAAATAAGATCTTATAATGAGGCACAAAATGAAATACACGCTGTAAAAATTAAATAAAGGATCAAAAAACGCTCATGTGCCTCTTCAGAAGTCATGTGAGATTCTGTAGTAAGTGCCCATGTCTGCTTAATTCTGCAACTGAATTTGCTTCCTTTCATAAATACTGTTCATTTTCAATTGCTAACAATAGCAATGGTATGTAATATAAATATGAATAGCCTTTCCATGTTTGATTTGGGGCCAATAAGATATTAACCACAATTTTTACTATACACTCACCAGCTGATAAAGATTTTCCCAGTAGTCCTGTGTCATCAGTCGAAACAGTGACAAGAAAGCCCAACTGAATGTGTCAAAGCTAGTATATCCATAGTTGGGGTTTTTACCAGCTTTCACACAAATAAACCCTTCTGGACATTTACTAGGAGGAAAAAAAAAGAAAAAAAAAAAGTAAAGCAATGTATATAAAAAAAATCATCTAACACTAAAATGTTTTTAAATTATTGTACCTTGAGCTTCTAATGAAGGTTCACTAGATCTAATCTGTGAAGGGGGCTGCTATTTGTGGCTTACAACATTTTAAAAATCAGTGAGGAAATGAAAAGAGTGTTCTTTAAAAAAAGCCAGAAAAGAGCAAACAAGTAAATGAAGATCTTTCTTCCTACCTTCTTCCACCATTATACACAAAATAAAGCTTATTCCCAACAATTTGTTATTACCTCTAGAGATACCTCTTCTATGGAAACAATATATTTACTTAACACAGAGATTCCATAAAGTCAGTAATTCCATGCAAAAGAAAGTCAGTATACATATTTTATGCTGAATTTTGTCTGTCAGCAGGGTTGGCATACCAGATTTCTTGGTTTCTTCAGGTTTGTGAATTAGTCAAGTCAAATTAACAAATTCCACCAATTCCTCAACAGCAAATAACCATCATAGTGATACTTTTATCTCCTGAAACTGTACAAATCAGTTTTGATAGCAGGTGATCCAATCCTGATATCAACTGTAGGCACACTGTTTCAGTTATTGCATTCTTGAAGGATAGAGGAGGTTCTTGCCTCCAAAACCTCTACAGAAAAACACTATAAAGATATCTTTTCTTATATGTGCATGTACATTTGATGCATATTTACACACACACATAAAATTATCTTATAGTAAGGCACATATATACACAAAATGTTTACAAAAAAAGATTTAAGTACATCTGTTTTAAAGACATAACCAACGAAAACCAAGGGATGGACTGATATATCATCAGAATACAGAATTATGTGATTTTTTTTTTTACAAAGAATTGTCACAAAGAGAGAGCAAGACAGTGCCATGCATGCAGTCCACAAACAGAAGAATCCTGAAGATGTCTTCCCAAAAGGCAGTCCTAAGTCCCAGTGCCTCATGCCTATTTTAGAGATGAGAAATGGCATGAAATCCATGATAAAGAAGTATGTTCTTGACATTGGTAATGCAATATCTATGTGCTGAAATGGAATTTTCTAGTTACCCAAGAGTTTTTAAAAGAAATTTACAATAAAATATTTTCTCATTCAACATTTTACTCATTCAAGTGTTTACTTACTATGAACTGTGACCACATGTTATTGATTGTGAAGTTAGGCAGCTAAATTAGCTTTTCAAGTTTAGAGTGATGTTTTTCACATTTTGTTTAGACAGGTAGTATGTAATTTTCAGTGTACCTTACCCTGCATCTGAGCTATTGCCACAAAGTAGATAATCCTTTTGTCCTTCTATGCGATAGAAATGATCTAAAGAAAAAATAGGAAGCAACATGATTATAAACCAAAAGAGTGGGGTTTTTTTCTTTTTTTTTGTGAGGATGAACCTACATTCAAGTTATCATGGTTTGAACGTTCATAATCTCCCATTCATATTTTTCCAATAATGGGTTCAAATACTGGCACATCCATACTGGTAAGTAAAGCTGCAAAACTAAAGAATAAAATAAAAACACAACGTAAAAATAAAATCCTAGAACAATGATTAGAACACCATAAATTGCATATTCTCTTCTTGAGTCATAGCAAACACTGAATATCCTTCCAAAATCTGATGTTCAGTAAATGAGAGAAAGAAAGTACAAAGCTTAAAATTCCTTCTCTTATTCAGTAGCTAGATTGTAATCAGACAATTAAAGCCTATCTTACTAAAAATGGAACTATTTACAATGGCTGGCTTACAGTTTTGAAGTCAGAGAAACATTAACTAGCACATCCTGTGACTGAAAGTATGAAGGTAGCATTTACAGGTAGATGGATGTTCCAATGGCAGTGTTATAACAGCTGCTGTCCTACAAACAACTTCACAGAATTTTTCTTTTAATTATAAGGTGGTAGACTTCAGAAATAAAGCAATATCTTTTGTTATTAATGATTAACACCTGTGCTGTCTTTAAAAAAAAAAAGAGAAAAAAGAATACAGCAAGAAAGATGATAACGAATTGGGGAAGATGTTGATATGAGTGAGGGCAGGCCCCATTCAGAGGGTCCTAGGCAGGCTGGAGGAATGGCCTGACAGGAGACACGTAAAATTCGGCAGAGACAAATGCAGAGTTGTGTACGTGGGAAGGAAGAGCCCCTTGCAGTGGTACAGGCTGGGAGCCGACCAGCTGGGGAGCAGCTCTGCAGAAAAGGTACTGGCGGTCTTGGCGGACAGGGAGAAAGGTGAAGGTGAGCCAGCAGTGTGCCCTGGCAGCCAAGAAGGGCAACAGCCTCCTGGGCTGCATGAACAGCAGCACAGCTAGCAGTGCAAGGGAAGCGACCGTCCCCCTCAGCTCAGCACTCATTAGACTGTATCTGGAATAGTGTGTCCACGTTTGGCCCCCCCAGTGCAAGACCGACACTGATAAAGTGGAGCAAGTTCAGCAGAGAGTCACCAAGGTCATGAGGTGACTAGAACTCTGACCCTGGGGGGAGAGGCTGAGGGACCTGACCTTGCTCAGCCTGGAGAAAGGGAGGCTGTGGGGGGAGTTGGTAGAAAGCACCCAGCAACTACAAGGAGGTTATCAAGGGGACAGAGCCAAGTTCTTCTCACTGGTGTGTGGCAGGAGAATGACAGAAAATGGGCATAATTTGAAACAAGAGAGTTTCTGACTGGATATAGGGAGAAACTTTTCACCATGAGGATAGCCAGGCACTGAGATCTAGAAAACAGAGAGAGTTCTGGAAAAAACTCTTATCCCAACTAAACTAATCTTCCGTCATCCTCAGTTCATATCCTCAGTGTACCTTTCAAGCTGACAAAAAGCTTTGGTTTTCACAAGGTAAAAAGCTATTGTAGTATTTAAATAATCAGAAACAACCCACAGGATGAAGAATATATGAAGATAGGAGGATTCTAAAACAAACACTTAAATCAGATCTACTGATGCCCAAATCCTACCACTCAAGAACAGTACTTATACAATGTCAGAAAAATTATAATCCTATTACTTCTATAATATCTTTAGAGCTGGCCAAAACTTGAAATGTTCAGATACTGATCTAAATGCCAGTGCCAATACTTTGACATGTGGATCCAAGATCTGCGCATATATTTTCAAAAAGTGAATCTGGCCTTGTTCCTTAATAAATGAAAATGCACAGATGTGAAGAAAAGTCACTAGAAGGTATCACACTCAGTCACAGCTGACCAGCATATGATATGCTGAAAAATATATTAGGAGGATCCACACCTGAGGCCAGTGAAATTATAATGCAACTGACATATAAATGATTAAGAAGAGGTTATACAAGAAAGGAGGAACACAAACACAACTAGATGGAACTGCCTTGCCTGCATCAGCACTCCTTAGAGTCTCCCAGCAAAGTCAACAGTTGTAGCATAGAAAGCAACTGACATTCTGAAAGATTTTAGTTGTCTTTTAGTTTTAGATTGCTACTTAGTGAAAAATGGCAATAGAGGATCTACATACTGTATTTGAAGAGAGAATTCACAAATGTTCTACAGCATATAAACTATCATCCAGAATTGCCCACAAAGCACTATCATCACTCCATTTTCACATCCCTTCTTAGGCCAAATAAACTAGCTAAACTGATAGATTGCACAGAAAATGTAAATACAGTCACAGAATTTCCAGAACTTCAGAAGTACAGAAAGAAAATCTGAAAATACAGAAAACAGCACAGAACTTTAATGTCCTTTTTTAAGTAAGGAAGGAAATATGACTCATCAAAATTTAGCATGTCACAACTGTATTTTCTTTTGAGTCAGTGAGGAGGAAAGCTAGCATCCATTATTCTACCAATTTCTTTTTACTTAAATACACTACTTTTACAATTAATTACTGAACAATATCCTGTAAATCCACTTCCAGCACAAACGCATACATAAAAATGAATCAAATTTTTGGCAATTAGAAGTTGTTATACTACATCTCGTGGTTCATTATGTATTACAACTTCACTGGTGCTATCACTTAAAATGACAAATACAAAAAATAAGTATCTGTGTGTTTCTGAACCAGCCTGAATGTTGTCACTGCAGTCTGCAGAGATTAAGAACGTTGAAAAATATCTGGGTAAAGATGTATTTGTCAGCTTCCTTAGTAACCACAATAGGACATACAGATGAATACCATCTCCTTCCCTACCAGAATCTCTACTTGCCTAGTGAGTTCTTTATTTCACAGAGAACAACTGGTTTCTTTTCTTACCTCTACCTAATAATAAAAGTACATCTTAACTAGGAAATCTGTGTTATTTATCTAGTGCTTCTCTGTCTTATTTAAAGCCTAAAGATACAAGGAGAGGCTAAGAGAATTGGTTTTGTTCAGCCTTGAGAAGGCTAAGGGGTGTGGGGGATGGGGGGGGGGGGTTTTCATGCTACCTGCAAGTATAACATGAAAGGCTGTAATGAAGATGGAGCCTGACTCTTCTCAGAGGTGCACACTGGAAGGATAAGAGGTGACTAGCCAAAACTTGAGCATGGGAAATTCTGAACTGATATTAAAAAAAGTTACCATGAGACTTGTCAAACACTGGAACAGGCTGTGCAGAGAGGCTGTGGTATCTCAAACCTTGGAGATATTAAAAACTTGAATGGACATGGCATTGAGCAGTCTGCTCTAACTGGACCTGCAGCTGAGCAGCAGTTAGGATCTCCACAGTCATCCAGACCATCCAACCTGCATGATTCTGTGATTCTAAAACCAAACTAACCTAATAAATACGTTTCTAAGTGCAGTTAATGGAAAGAACAATCATGTCTGTATGAGTTTGAGATGCAACACACAAAAATCCCTACTCTTTGTCATCCTATTTAATTGATTTTTATCTTTAGCCTATAGTATGAAATGGTGATCTTATATGTGCGTGTGTGTGTTTATACACAAAAAATTTTAGCAAGTTACAACAGTATTTCTTACTTTCATTCTCAATGTATGCTGTCCAATCAAACACTGTACCATTAAAGTACGGAGCTAGGTATTTTTCAAAAGATGTTGAATTTTTTGATGGCCATAACAAGCATTTATTCTTCAAATTGCCCATGAACAGCTGCAGTCCTATTAGTGCAAACACACTCAGGCAAAACACAGTCAAAATCATTACATCTGAGAGCTTCTTCACAGACTGAATTAAGGCTCCAACAATAGTCTTCAAGCCTGCAAACAGAGGCAGATTTTTATTATAATATTAAATATTTACCCAAGCTAAAATGCAATGTCAACTACTCCAACACACTATTAAATACCATGCACAGCTTCACAAAAATAGCCTTAAAATATTTTCCAAAGGAAAAAGGTACCAGTAAGTCTCATCATTCCTGACAAATTAATCTGAAAATATGAATGGGATTGAATGGTACACATTCCAAAGCACCTGCTCTTCCAATGAAGAAGTAAATTTTTATTCATGCTCTCTATACATGTAAACTACATGTAAAGAAGATTGTTCATTTTATTTTCTTCTTGATGCCTCTTGCTCCAAACCTTTGCCAGTGTTCTATTCCAACACATGATATATTGGTTCTATAACAGCAAACAAAACCAGAACACAATTGCATTGTAGTAGAAATTTTAATGATTGCATTCTATTGCATCCTATTCAACTGGAGGTGGGGTTTGGTGAAGACAGGCATCTTAAGGTAATAAACACATCATGCAATTCCCATGCTACTCTTGATTAACTTATTCCTTTGTCAGTGATTCAACTTTTACAACAGACTTATATTTTCAATCCCAAATGCTTTTGATAAATAGTAACATTCATATTAGTAAGAGAAAAATAAAAAGAGTTAATTTTGATCCTTAATGTGGGAAAGAAAACTTGACATCATGAAATGGAAATACACACAGGCTATGTAATTCAATTTCTCATGCAAGAATGTATTAAACTCTGAGGCTGAGTGTTTTAGAGAATTAGAAAAAAGAATCAAATTGAAGACTAAAACCTGGATGTTTCTGTTAAAATATGAGTTCAGCTTCTGTGGAATTTCAGTCAGCCTCAGTGTTTAACCTAGCTCTCACCTGGAATGACTGATATTGTTTTCAAAGCTCGGAGAACTCTGAATGTTCTCAACGCTGAGACATTGCCCAGGTCCACAAACTCTGTCACATATCTGTAGTGAGGGATTCCACACACAAACACAATGACAGCACACAAAAATTAAACACAAGTGATGCAGAGCGCCTACCATTTTACACAGTTACTTCTTACCTGGGATTACAGAAATAGTTTTCAAAGCTCTCAATACTCTGAAAGTTCGAAGAGCTGAAACATTGCCTAGGTTTACAAATTCTGTTATATACCTGTAGGATTAAATCACAGTTATTCAGAATTAAGGTAGAGTGTATACTACTGACCTGGACCTGTAATCCAGACTATTTCTTTTTGGAAGGGGCAACTTTAAGTGAAAGACTTGCATTCATATTTTCCTGTTTCAATTAAGTTTTCCCTAAGAAACACACCCTTGAGTATTTCCATTGAACGCAAATTAAAAATGAAATGTATTTCCCTGACTTATTATTTAAATACTATTTAAAATTGTTCAGTGGTAACTTCTCTTTTGTACTGTGGGATGGTCCACTAATTCTGCTGTGTGCTACATTACTGTAAAATAATAAAATGGAATAAGTTGAAACACAATTCAACTACAATTCATTTTAAATGAGCTAAGATAACCCAAACAAATTATTACAGGTTCAAAAAAAGTTCTAACTGGTATTTTACTTTAAAAAAATCATATACTTACGCAAAGGAAATGACAACAAAATCAAGCCAGTTCCAGGGGTCACGAAGGCAAGTAAAATCATTTATACAGAAGCCTCTTGCAAGGATTTTTACCAGAAATTCAAAAGTATAAATTCCAGTGAAAGTGTACCTATAAGAAAACATCCAAAAGTTAAAGATTGTTGTTCAGTGATACATCATCACAGGCATAAAGGAAAATCACTCAAAAACAGTGATTAGTGCATGCACTGTAAGAGCAGTTACAAACTCACATAAACTATCACTGTTTTCCCACCATTCTTCTGCAAGGTAATTGGTTTTGTTTATTTATTTTATCTGAAACATATTTTTGTAGTTTCTGTCATATAAAGTTCTGAAATTTCAGCACGAATAATAATAATCATGACTAACATAAAGAAAATATTTTTGCTAAAATAAAAATTTCAGCATGGTTGCTATGTCAGAAATAAAATCCATGGGTAAGTGAAACCTAGTGTTTACTAAAGTTACCTGATGGCTGACCAGGTAAACTTGAGAATGTCAAACAATAATCATCAGCAGAGGTATTTTCTTTAAGTAGGGTGTGTGTCCCATTTTTAGATTTTGTTACACAAAATTAAGGTGCTTCATAGGGGCTACAGAAAGCATCTTCCATACTGAAAAGCAGCAGTTTCATGTTGAATGGCTATTTTCTTCCCCCCTTCTTTTTTTAATAAAAATGCTAAAGGAACAGCTCAAGAGGGAGAATGCATAAAAACATTACTTGTACAAACATTCTGAACAAGAGTATTAATCAATTTTGTTCAGAGAAAAAGGTTAAAAATATCACAGCTTCTTTCCTTCCTAGAGCTTACAGGTCTATGCTGCTTCGAGTTGCAGCTAGGACCAAACTCTAGCCTAGAGAAAGGAGAATACTGGTGTTACACACAAGCGTAAGTAAAACTACATGGTCTAGCTCCTAATCTAGCTTTTCATTTTTAAACCACTTAGAAATTATTAGCTAATTTAAGTATACTTACTCTACATTCTTTGCCCAGTCTGGAGGGTTATTCCATGTCATAAATACACAGTTTGTCAAAATAGTGAGCATAATGAGCATGCTGAACAATGTTGACTGTAGTTAAGGAACTTATTCTTTTTTAATGCTGAATTTGCATCACACAAAACATGAAGAATTGACCAGGCTATAGAATACTGACAACATATATGATACAAATCAGTTTACTATCACGAGCAATGTCATAAATAATGCAAAGATGTTTCACAATAATGATGGCTATACCACTAACTCTGTAATCTAGTATACATGCTGTGCATCTCTTCCTCTGAATTTAATCAGAGGGTTAAAGTGACAAATCTTAGCGCTGATTCACTTTGAGAGAAAGAATTAAGGGCAGGAACACATTTAAACACTAAACAAGAAAACCCAGTGGTATTAAAAATTTAAAAAGACCAGTAATAATTTTCAAGAAACCACTTGAAAAGGATATGAATGAACCAAAATCTTAATAGCTGTTCTTCTAATAATATTGAAAGGAGATAAAAGGTACAAGGCAGGTGTGGCACTGAACCTGAAGATTGTCTTCCCTTTATTCAATACTATAAATGTCTTAAAAAAAAAACAAAAAAAAAAACCCAAACCACAAAAGGAGCAGGGGAAAGATAGGAAATAGGAAATTAAGGATACATGTTAGCAACCTTGCCATAAATAGAGGCTGTACTTACACAGACATAAGTAGCCAAATTTCTTTTCAGTAGAATTATACAAGCAAATATCAGATTCTAAATTTTCACAAGCAATGAAAACTGAACACCATATATTCTTTGTCTCTGTCCTCTTAAACAAAATCTTCCTTTCAGCATTTTCCAGGATTATGTAATTACATTAAAAATATAATTAAAAATTTGTCATTTTTAACATTTAAAATTAATCCAGCTGTATTACCTGCACTTCAGATCAAAGCTGGCAATGCAAAACAAAGCACCTAACTAATCATTTTTGGGTACTTATGAGCAACTATTTAACCATTTCAGCACTTCAAAACTGCTTCTGAGGTGAGACACCCTCGACTTTTAAAGACTTTACTGCCTTTATTGCCTGTGCAGTCATCACTGGTACCATTTACGCAACCATTTTTTATTTTGACTAGGAGAAACAATGAAAACGTCATCTAATAAAATCTTAATTTAATCTACATCTTATGATCATTCTCCCAAAAGGCTACTATGTGGAAATAAGCAGGTTTTAACATGGAATCTTTCTGTTTTCTAATGATATTCCACTGTAAAAGAAATAGATCATTTGACAGTAGCGTTCGTGAAGTTGAAACAACAAAAACGAAACTAAAAAACCTACATCTGATTATTAGTCATCAACGTTCTGTACTAGAAAAAAACACTGCTTTAACTTAGTTGCTTCTTACAGAGGTAATATAGCTCTTTGGTCACTTACATGCAAGATACCAATCTGTTGATTATGCAGTACTTAATTTCAAGAACCTGTTCTATGTTTTTAATTCAACAAGCATTTTATTGATTTGCACAATAAAATAACCATTCACTTCTTATTTTGTACTGCCTTTTGAATGTAAACTCAATTTTGCTTTCATTCTGAACAGCATTCCACTTCACACCTACATAAAAACATCTTCGTCTGTACTTGCTAAAGTCATCACCCTCGCTCTTTTCTTCTTTTGTTATCATTATATCTATAGAAGAAACTGAGTCATGTTACAGTACGTGTATATAAATTTAGATTTTGTCTTCACATCTATATTGGTCCTATAACATAGACCCAATATTGAAACACAAAGTACAGTTTTAGTCTTTACACTTAGTCCTGTACGAGAAGTGAATGTGGGGCTACTCACATGAATGTTATTTGTATGCTGTTTTGCTGAACTGATACTGAGCCACAAATCCTCTTTCACATTAAACAAAACCAAAGCATTTTTATAAAATTTCTGGGAAAACTTTGCATCCATGCAGATGTAAAGTGATTCTAAGAGGAATGACGCAAAGACTTTCAAGAACTTCTTTGCTCTGTAACATACTATTATGGAGGGCATATGACCTCAAATTGTCCTACCAGTGTACTGTCTTCATGTTCTTCATGGGGCAGTGCAGGGAGCGATTACTTGCTGGGGAATTGCTATTAAAATCATTAGGAAAACATAACAGGTCAGAAAAATCAAATCCTCCCCATTAGACTCAGAACAGTTGCAGTGGTCCTGAAGCAAACTCTAGCATAACAAACCCACATCTGTAACTGACACAAGCTGTTACCAATCCATAGAAATCACATCACATGAAGCTGGCAATATGTGATAATAATATTTTTTCTTTTTTTTTTTTTTATTATGTCCCTCCCTAGTCAAATAGATTTTAACATTTATCTTTTTGTAAAACAAATATTGCTATGAGATTTCAAGGAATGTTTGACAGTCGATTGTTTTGGCAGATGACTGAACGAGCACTTTGTCCAAAGACTACCCTACTCAACTAGATCTCGGGTACTGTCTATGTTTCCTAGAAACCCCAGGAACAGAGTAGCCAGACAGAGAGAAAGTTTTCAAATGCTTCAGCATTCAATTAGATTTGAAAAGATTAAAGGACATCTAATGCAAAGTCTACTAATTCAAAATATCTTCATAAGGAAACCTTAGATATTAAAAGAAAAGCTCTTTTAAAAAAAAAAAGCAACCTAAGCAGAAGAGTTACAGTCATATTTCTAATGTATTCAAAATAATTAACATGATATCACATACTGCATAATACTTTCAACCAGGGCTTCTGATTACCTCCATACCAGAGCATTTATCGCTTTATAGTTCAAGAGGTGTGTTCTAACTACACTCTTAATATAAAACACTTACTTTTTTATTGATATAATATGGATCCAGGTCCTCCAGGGGCTCAGATACCATTCCTGGAGGAATATCACCGTAAATAAATGGCAGTGTTTTTCCTGCCTCCAAGTCACTGCTTGGCTTTGGGTGATTTTCTTCATGACTGCCATCATCTTTATGTTCATCTTTGCCACAATGAGATTTTTCATCAGCAATACGTTTTTCAATAGCTGCAAGAGATTCTTTGGTGAAATAGAAGAAGCTGTCAGATCCTGGTGGTAATAGCATTGCCTGTGCCATCTTTTCATTCTGCAAACTTTAAATGCTTTTAGGCTCTTGTGCAAGAAGATCCTAGGAGAACAAGAGAAAAAAAGAAACAGAAAATAGAGGGCAACAGCAACAAATCCCCAAATAAAAGCTTTTGGCATAATCATCTTCTGCCTCTTTTCTAATTCTAAAGCACTGTAGCAAGAAGTATTTGAATTAATTGTCAGATACTTAATAGAAAATTAGCTACCAGTAACGACATGGCAAATGGATACAAGTTATGAGGTAAAGAAAAAAATGAAAGGAGGAAAAAAAAAATATTAAATTTGCATACAGTTTGTCAACTCAGGTTAATGCAAACCTCACAGCAAGAAAAAAAGGAAAAACATTCCCTCTTTCCCTAGCATAAACATTAAGTTAAAACACACCTTATTGTGAAAAAGTAAGAAATGTGTTAACACAGCTATGTACTGCAGTCAAGGGTTACAACTTCTAACATACGGATTTATGCATCAAGTTGGCACGGTACCTTAAAAAAACTTGCAACTTATATACAAAAGTAGAAAGAAAAAACAAGCCCTTTCTATTTCTCTTTTCATTTCTGATGGCAACTCTACTCCATCTGGTGGCTTATACTATGCTTGCTAAATTAATGTTTATACTATTCTATTAGACAGGTACTACATGAACACATTCTATATTTAAAGCCATATGCACAAGCAGAAAGCAACTGGGCTGAAGTTTATTTAGTCTTTCCCTTTTTGGGCTTCCTGACTTGCATCTTCCTGATCTTTATTTGTAACTTTGGTGGTGCTATTGTCCATAATTAAGGAAATGATGATGAAGGATTTTAGATTTATACAAAAAAATACAGCATACTCTCCCCAAAGTTACAGCACTTTCTCTGAGGCCAGCTATATTCTCAAAAGATCTAAAGAGAATAAATTGATTAAATTCCAACAAACAATAATAGATCACTTCTTTCTAGCTTTCTATTTTCTACAGTGAGAGCACAGTTAACACCCATGGGCGCAATATCTTCAGAATAAACCAATTTTATGAACAGAGACAAAACGAAATCCAGTCCCGCTTGCTGGCATTGGTAAGTGTTGTAGCCTTTGCCAACACAAGACTGTGGTGGGTTGACCTTGGCTGGCTGCCACACTGCCAGCCAGCTGCTCTCTCCCTCCCACTCCTCAAAAGGAAGGGCAGGGAGAATGAACTGAAAAAGCACATGCCTCGAGATGGAGACGGGGAGATCACTTACCAATTACTGTCACCGGCCAAACAGACTCTCGACTTACGGAAAAAACATTTATTGCCAATTAAAATAGATCTGGATGGTGAGAAACGAAGACAAAACCTCAAAGAGCTTCTCCCCCATCGCGTCTTTTTTCCAGGCTGAACTTCACTCCTTTATTCTCAACTTCTATACCGCCTCCCTCCCCAAATGGCGCATGAAAGATGGTAAACGGGGGGGCTGGGGTCAGTCCATACCAGTTCCTCTCTGCTGCTCCTTCCTCCTCGCGCTTTTCCCCTGTGCCAGCGTGGTCCTTCCCACAGGCTGCAGGGCTTCAGGATAAGGCTGCTCCAACATGGGCTCTCCACGTGCCACAGTTCCTTCAAGAAATACCCACCTGCTCCAGCACGGTGTCCTCCACAGGCTGCAGCGTGGATATCTGCTGCAGCATGCTCCTCCACAGGCTGCAGGGAAATACCTGCTTCACCACAGCCCGTCCCACAGGCTTCGAGGGAATCTCTGCTCCAGCGCCTGGAGCCCCTCCTCCCCCTCCTTCTTCACTGACCTTAGTGGTTTGCAGGGCTGTTTCTCACACTTTTTTCCTCACGCTGACATGTGGTGCTTTGCCCTTTCTTAGATCTGTTTTCCCACAGGCACCACCATCTCGGCTGAGGAGCTCAGCTGTGCCCTGTGGTGGGCCCGCTGGAACCGGCTGTGTCCAGCACGGGGCAGCCCCGGGCTCTCCTCACAGAGGCTGCCCCTGCAGACCCCCCCCCAGACGGGTGGTGCCACAGACACCCACTCCAGAAATACTGTGAATACTGGTCAGGGTGCTGTGAGGCCTAATTCCCAAGAAGAAAAAACTTGAAGCGGATTTAGATGAGTTGCTCCATTTGCTATAGGCTTCTGTCACCAAAAATGTCACAGACTGAGCCTGTTCTACCCAGGAGGTGAGAGCTGGCTAAAGACATAACTTTTTTTTTGATCACAGTGTAAGCTCAATAGTAGGGGTGTGCTGGGAAGGAAAAACATTGATGACATGCTTTTTCATGAAGTGTAACAGCTCTGAAGTCAATTAACACATGACACCATGAATCCCAGAAATCTGCCTCTTCTAGGTCAACTTTTAGGTCAACTTAAAGTTAATTTTGGAAATTTTTCTATTTTTTAGCAATTTTCCAGCAGAAACTAAATTCTCATGGACACGCAACCTAGTGTTACACAAGCCACCTCTTCCTCAAAATTAGCCATTCAAAGGTATGCACAGACTTCAAAGCCCTGCTTTTTCAGCTGAGCTACAACAGCTTCCGAGTCCTTAGCAAATACTCTTTATCATGATAAAAGACACAAAAAAGGGGTCTTTGCACAAGCTAGTACAGAGATGAGAAATTTCCTAATAAATAGCTATAGAAATCTGCCATTTTTCATGTCAGCCACAAAGCACTTTAGGAAAACACAGAAATGTTTTTCTCTGGAACAGAAAGCCCAAGAATGCCAAGTCCTCCCTCATTTATTAAAAAATGAATAATTGCATCCATGCCATCTCGAAGTGATTCACCATTCTCAAATGAAATGTCTGATTGTTGTTTAGCCTTGTCTGGTCACCCTTCTCAAATCCATAGCACCAGTAATCCTGAAGGTCTGCCCAGCCATGCTTGGGCTGAGAACCAGCTGTGTCTGAAAAGGTACTTTTTCTTCAGAAGCTGGATGACATCTGTGGCTCTAAATACCCAGGGAACACGCACCAGCAAAAAGGGAGAAAGACCTGTCTTAAAAGGAAGGACACCAGGATCCTTTTCCATAAGCTTAAGTTTTATCTAAGAGCTAAAGTAAGTCATACAAGTCTTATTTGGTACCCTTAGGTCATTTACTTTGCTTACAACTCTTTTTCAGAAATAAGGGGGGGGGGTGTTATATGCTTCTTTATTTGTGAGCTGAAAATTCACAAGGATTTCCTTACTGTGAGCAGCCATGTCAATTTAAATTTTTTTTAAGTCAAGGAAAGTTCTTACTAGCAGGGGCTTTTTCCTACACCAAGGTGGTAGCAGTATTAAATCAAATAGTAGGTTCTCCCCCCAAACCCTATTCCTATATGGTATATTAACCAATACTGTATGTGTTGTAACAGATTCTGAGGACTGCACTTACATAAAATTTGCCTTTTCTGTATTGAGTGATGCAAACTACAGTTACTATATGCAGCTACGTGTAATCAGTCTACACACAGTTACTATCCAAAATGGTTAGATGGTTGCACAAAGTCTTTTAGCATCTGATGAGACAAAACAGCAAGACCTACAGCCATTAGAACATCTTAAAACCAAATAAAACAGGACCTGTACACACGGTGCTGCCCTGTTACAGTCAGACTACCCTTTTATGGGATAAATATGATAGAGATTTTTCAGCACGTCTACACACCACTGACCAATCCACCATGCCTACAAACAAGCAGGGGCATACTTGGCAGTCTAAGAAATACTTAGGCAACTTTGTGTTTTGATGACTATCTTCAGAAACAAAACAGGCAGATACAAACATGTCAACAAAAAGAAAGGGGAGACACCCACAGAGAGTAAGACAAATATATACTATAATATTCAGCTAGTCTTTTGGAAGATGTTCTCATTACTCGGCGAAAGACTTTACAAAACCTTGAAAATAGTTTTCTGGTCAACTTTATGAATGTAGACTCAGAAGGTGATGAATACGATACCTAGAGAAACAACTTGTTATCAAACATGTACTTGAAAAATGTCACTGTTATGCCTGCCTATGCATTTAGGCTAAATTTACTCTTTAGAAGTCTGTAATACGTGAAACTAAAAGTTCATGACTGTCCATCTTACCAAATACCACTACGGTCTTATAGCAGCTTTTCTGAGTTGTTACGAATGTCATCAGAATGAAAACCAATCTTTCCGCTTGCATGTTCATATTCCACTGGTTTATTCAGCAAGGCTTAAGTGGTAACCTTAGGGCTGAGATGAACTCCAGTGTATCTCTCTAGAGACAGCATAGCCAATCACTGCAGCACATCTCTCAGTGTTAACATAAAACAGAAAAAGGTTATTTTCCAATACATAACAGGAATCTCTTCTATTAATGATTTACCCTAGCAGCCTAATCACAACCATGCTTGGAAAAAACCCCACACCTATTAAACACATCTTAAGTTACAGTTCAGTAACCATATTTTCTTGTCATGACCTTTTTTAAAGTACTGCAAATATATAAACTCTGTAGCGTTGTGGAGCAAAATGATGCCACTTATATCATTACCTCATGGAAATCAGTTTATCCAAGAAAGAAATGGAGTGAAAAAAAATTATGAAGATGGATGGATTGGTTTAATGACTTAAACGTTATCCCTCTCTTCTGCAGTCTTGATGGCTTCTGTATTATGAACTAAGAGGTAATAACAAATCAAATCAGAAGACAAGAAAGAATATGAATCGTGAAGAAACTAAAACTGACACCCCTCCCCCCCCAAACCACAAAAGTCCTTCTGAAAGCTTACACACACACACCCCCAAAACGCCCCAACATTAAAAAATCCACCAACAGTAAAAAACAAAAAACAACAGATAAAAAAACCTGTTTTCTCAGCTTACTATCAAGAAATAGGCTTGTGATCCAACATGGCTATATTTTGCATTTAAGTCTGAACAGAGACTCTCTTCATCAAGCAGAACAGAAAAAGCAAGTTATAAATGGAAGATTAGAGGCAACTGCTGCATACCACTATCTAGTAGCACAGCACTAGAAGGAAATTCCTGGGTCCAGGAACAAG